AAACCTTAAATTAAGAGTGAATAAATGAAGACTCGACACACCACTTCTGAAAGGTTGCCGACCCCTGCCCTAGCCTATAACCCACAGCGGGGACTAGTACCCAGTGCGAACCATGCAGGAATGGCCTGATTTTGTGTGTGTGTGTGTGCGTGCGTGCGTGCGTGCATGCGCGTGTGTGTGTGTTCTTGCAACTCCTTCCTGCTGTAATGTGGGGTCACATGAAACATCACCAACCCCAAGCATTCTGATACCCTGAGTTGGCCCTCCCCAAATCTCCATGAAAATAATGAGATTTATATATATATATATAGAGAGAGAGAGTTCATTTTCTTTGCCTTCTGGGTTCTGAGCCTCTAGGGAGCTCTCAGGTCATGTTTCTCAGTTTTTCATTGAAAAAAATGTCTGCTGCCTGCCCAGTGGGAGACCACCTCCAGCCGAGTGTCCTCAGCCACCCAACATCCAGCTGCCAACCTTGGCATCAGTCGCACCAACATTTGTTCCATTGGATGATGCCATTCCAATGCAGGGAACTGGAAATGAGGTGATGGGGGAGATGGGAGTTCTCTCCCCAACTCTGGGAGGGGAGTGCGGTCTAATGGGTTAGAAATACAAATTATTGCAAGACTTGCAATTTAATCACGAGAGTTGGCGATACCCTGTTTTATCAACCCCGCACTGGCCCATCTAGTGTTAACCACACTCTGTGGGCTGAAGAAGCCAGGCCCCCTCCCCCTTGCTGGGCATTCTTGGACTGGAGACAAGGTATAAAAGCAGCAGCTCAGCTCAGTTTGGGCTGACTGAGGAGAAGAGCGGATTTGTGTTGCAGGCTTCTGCTAAGAGGCTGCAGGAGCCCTAGGCTGCAGAGGCCAACCACGCTGAGGCCCCTGCGGACACCCAGTCAAACACTAAAGATATGGAGAAGAGTTTGTTAACACCAGGAAACAAATTATGCTGAAAGTGAAAGTAGGAAGCGACCCAGGAGATTGGAATGGATGCAGAGAGCGACCAAGTCTGAACACAGGAGAATTGGTTTTTCAGGGCCCTGGGTCGGGACTCAGTGGAGTAAGGTGGGCCTGGGTCTCCCACACCGCACCAACCACTGGGGCAGTCACCACCCCAAGGAACACACTCTACTGCTCAAGGACAGCTGCGTAAACTCTGGTCGCTGGGCTGTGCTGCCCTGAAGACAGGGACAGTTGTATTGACCCCGGAGGCTGGGCCCTGTTACCCTAGGAACAAGAGACAGCCTGGGGATCTCTTGCCACTTGAGCTATAACCCCTGTTTTTTGGCTTTCTTCATCCAGCACCCCGCTCCACGGTATAACAACCCCATGACAGTATGGAAAAAGGTTGAGACCCACTGCTTGATGGTACCCTGTTGTTTTGCCAAAGGGATTGTCCCATTTTGGGGCCACTTTAGAATGTTATCATTTCCCTGGAATGCCAGACACTTTATTGATCCCTGTTGTTATCCTGAAGAGTATGACCCAATCTGAGGGCCAGTTAAAAGGAAAGAGCTTTATCAATCCCCTAGTATTGGTTAGGAAGTGATGTCCTGTTCTAGGGACCTCTTTAGATGGGGAGAAAATTTAATGGTATCCCTGTGAGAGCTGGGAGAGAATGGCCTATTCTGGAGCCTCTTTAGACAGAAAGAGCTTTATCAAAATACACTGGTCGAATTTGCAAACTGTACGGGGGAAAATGTTTTTTCAGGAGCTGTATCTTGGGGATCCCTTGGTCAAATGCCCCTACATTTGGAACACTAACTCTTGCAAGCACCTTGTGAGGCACACCAACTTTCAAGGAAATCCAAATAACTATGTGGATTTTAGAAGCACTTGGAAGAATCAAGCTTTAAACAGAAAGTTGGTCTCAATTTTAACTAATGCAGACTTGGCGGCCAGCTATAATCCGGGTGTTGTGAGCTGATCTGGGCCCCCTTTAGAAGCAGGAAATCATATCTGTCCCTAGAGATTGCTGATAGAGACTATCCCAAACTGCGGAGCCCTTCAGAAACTGAGCGCTTTATTGAGAGCCCAGTGTTACACCCCAGATTGAAATAAACACTCAGCGATCCATGAGAACAAGAGAACTCTTTTTATTTGCCCTTGACAGCCCTGTGATGGGTTGGGCATGTATCTCTTCAGCCTAGAGGGGTCTTGCCCGGCTTGTGATCTTGAAGGGCAACAGAAGAGGTCTCTCCCGCTCTTGATTGCATCCCCTTCTTCCCTCAGGCCACCTGCGTGCTCAATATGTGCTGAAGTTGGCCTTGATATGCTCGTTGTTACTCGGTACATAGCTGTCGACACCTAGAGGAAATGGGACAGGATGATAAGGCAGGAGCGGTGCTGCTCAGACTGAATCCCTCTCGCTCTTGCTGTTGCCGCCCTCCTATGAAATGCTCCACTTGGACAGAACTGATGCAACTCTGAGGACAAGCATGTTCCCCTGCCAGGTGGTTGCCAACAACTGTCCCGCCTGCTACCTTCCCCCCAGACTCCGCACCTTGCTCCAGGGGCTTTGTGCCGTTGAAGAACTGCCAGTAGGTCTTGTCGTTGGAGTTGGCAGCACGGTTGTTGATGGAGACCACCATGAGGCCCCAGGATGTCTGCTTTGTTTCGTAGCTGCAAGGGGAATGAAGGCAAGAGTCAGGAGGAGCCGGGGCGATGGGGGATGATACAGCTGTTGGCTTCAGGGAAGGCTAGGGATGTAGAGGGGATGGATCAGGAGAGAGACAGAGGCAAACAGGGAAACTGATGCACCAGTAGGGAGAGAGTGATCAAAAGGGAGGACGAACCTGTAGCCACATGAGGCCTGCCTCGCTCACCTGAAGTCCTGTGGATTGTTCTGCTGAGCCGCTTGCAGGACGGAGAGCAGCACAGAGCCTTTGGGTACACTCACACGGATGGTGTAGTTGAAGTATTGCCCCCTGAGGTGGTTGGTGATGGTGTATTCCACCATGACTGAGCAGAGAGAGGATATAGGAGCAGATGGGAACAGAGAGAGAGGATATAGGAGCATTTGGTCATCCTAGTCACCCTAGTGGTTAGAGCATTTGTTGTGGTCCTGGGCCAGCCGCAGGGCATGAGGGAGACCTATTCCAGTAGCCTTATACCAGCCAGGGAAACCCCCAACACTGGGATTATTCTCTCGGGGTCAGTGGAGCAGAGGCCAGGATCAGGGCCAGTTAGCTCAGACCTCTACCAAGGTAAAGCAACAGGTGAGAGATCTCTGGACCCTGGGGCCATTGTTGCATTGCTCCAAGGGGCTGGGGAAGTGGCTGGTGGGGGAAGAGACTACGGAGCGATCCTTACCCTTACCTGTCAAGCAGCTGAGTCTGATCACATTCAGGTAGG